ACTAATAAAAATGGGTATTTAAAAGGATTTGATGGGCTACACGTTCCTTCCATCTGCAATCTCAATTATTTCATCAGAGTTGAGCACAATAACATAAGTAAACTTCTGCCTAGTGCTTGATCCTCTGTAAAATAATGGAGTCAATTTGCTGCTTTGTACTGACTACCCTAAGCTGGCCACATGTTTCTTTATGAACATTGATTGTAATGCCAAAAAATGTTCAAATTATTTTCAGTTCAAATTATTCCACCTTTCAGAATATTTTACTTTGTACTGACTACCCTAAGCTGGCCACGTTTCTTTATGAACATTGACTGTAATGCCAAAAAATGTTCAAATTATTTTCAGTTCAAATTACTCGACCTTTCAGAATATTTTTAAGGATGACATGGAAACCAAGCACTTGGAACATCTTATATTAATTTTTCTCCTTTGACACTAAAATGGCCACCATAGTACTTAAGTTACCTAAAACGTCAATGCAGATCTGAATGCTCACAGGAAAAAGCAGCACAAAACTCAGTAAAGACATGTTTTTGAAAATGCTATGGTGGAGTGTATAAAAATTCATTCAGAAACTTTGTTCTGCACATGTCTAACACATAGCCCAGTGGACCCCATGTCTGTGACAAATGTTTGTCACAAAATCTAGGTACAGACAGGTTATAAAAACTGATGGCATCTGGAGAAATGAGCAACATTCAGGCCCAATATCACAGCAAGCATTATCACAGTGTGAATTCTATTTATGACTAGTAGGAAATAATGTAAAATAGTTTTGAGTGATTTATTCTGGCATGGCAGGGAAACTAATCTTTATGAATGCAACTCTGTATTTTAGAGAATCCATTGTTTTTATTTTAAGTATTCTGGGTTGCATATTCTATCTACCACAGAAAACTAGTGTTAGTGTAGAGCCAAGAAAAGTCAAACAATGTTTCAGGAAGGAGGTATCAGAGGACCTAATTAAACATCAACAACTGGGTCAATGGCCTCTTTGTGTAAGACAAAAGTTATAAGACCCATGGTTTCTTCTGAAAAATCAAAAGTCAAGCAACCCAGGGATTCCTAAGATATATCTAGGATTGGTGTGAGAAGTGGTCTGTCAAATAATGAGGCAGAACTGAAGTCTGAAAACTGACTGAGAAGGAATTTTTAACAAGCAGTCACATACAGAGGCTGGAGTTTGGGGTTGGCTGCTGGATGAGAGAGCTTTAGGCCAAGATGATCTGATTTTTTCTTTAAAAAGAAAATCTGTGACTCCTGATATTCTTTTAAATAAAGACGTGTGTGAACTGAACTAGTTCACAAGTATTCAGTATTGACTGTCAGTGGGAACAAGAATGTGTTTATATGAAAATTAACTGATAGAAACTTTTAGAGAACTATAAAATACTATCAATTTGAGATTTCTAAACTGGGCTATGGTCTGAGGATAAGACAAAGTTTTTGCTGATTTTTTTTTAAAGAAAAATGGGAATTCCACTGGGAAGCTGAAGTTTAGAAACTAATATCCCAACCTCTACAAGATGTCTGTCAAACTGTCAGTCACACTGAAAAGTACACTACCATTCCTTGTACACATGGCCACCAGCTACATTCTGCTGAGTTTAAAGCAGAGAAAACTGCAGTTGTAAATGTCCAGGGAAGCTGCTGAAATGATTCTACAATGTATGTGCACTATGCAGCTGGTGGAGATGCTCTCTTTGAACACAATCAAAAACTTGAAGGCAGTAGAAATCTTTCCATTAACTTCTAAATTTTTCACAGGGACTATTTAACAGCATAATTTACTCCAAATTGCATTGATTATACTGTTTATAGCTCTATACCATACCAGACCAATGTACTGACTGATCAGCTTACACTTCTAGACATTTTTGTTGTAAATTCTTGTAGATCTGGGGAGAAAATAAATGCACGTGCTTGTGAGTTGGATTTTCAGAAGTGTTCCTGTATTTTTAAGCTTGAATCCTCTTGTAAAGAGATGAACTTGGGACTCTTCAGCATTGTGTGTGATGGACAGCTGTTGAAGCTTGGGGACTTTGCTGTTTTTTTTTGCTCTCCTGCTGTCCCAGAGCAAAACCAGTTTCCTTTTCAGAAAGAGGAAGCCAATACTTATGACAGCTACCAAATTTTGCAACCCACTGGGAAAAACTGTTGGGTTAAGCCCTGCTTTAGCTTTATTCAACCTGCTGTGACCTGAGGCACTAGCACTGTACTACAGTCTGTCCATTGTGTCCAAAAGTACAACTATTGATAAAGGAAAATATCCATGAGGAAGCTTCTGCAGGACAGTACTAGCACAGGAATTGTGGTTTCAGCATCTCACTGATTGTTTGTTTATGCAGGGAATGGCTCTCCCTGCATCTCCCCAGCACACACTGGTGCTGTACCATGGTACAGTTGGCTACCTGGACTTTCTCTTCTCCCTGGGGTCCCTGTGTTAGCCAAAGGTTCTCCCCAGCATGGCTGTCACCACTCCATGGACACACTGCAGTCTGCCCAGGCACTGCTGGGTCAAAGGGACTGCTGCTTCCCACAGGCAGCTTGGAGGGTTGCCATTGCTGTACTTGTCTAGAGATCCAAGTTAGTTTGTTTATTTTCTTTAGAGAGTGTCATTCAGCTCTCCTAGAAAGGACAGAGAGAAAAGCCACATAAAAAATATCTATTCTGCTGTTAATGTAGTCCTTCCCAGGCCTCTGACCTTCCTCACCAGGAGGGTTTTCCAAGCTTTGTTCCAAAATACAGATCTGTATTTCCCTGAAGTACTGAACAATTTCCACCAGAGGTCTCTGTCTACTAATAATTCCAGTCTGGTAGGATTGCTTATGCACTGCAGGGTTCCCAAGTCAGCCTTAGGCTTTGTCTCTTCACAGGAGTAGGAAACAAAACCAAGACTTCCCAAATCTGAGTGCCTGGGAAATCATTATCTGCTTTACAGGGCAGTAATACCCATCTGTTACATACGCAGAGATTTTCAAAAAAGGTTTCCTTATGTAAAAGTTATTTAAATAGCTCTCTTGAGCACATGTAACCTATCTATCAAAACCAACGCTTCAATGAATTTAAGAATTAAGGCCGCTTAATCAGAGTGCAGAAACTATAAATATCATGCTTTTACATGCAGAACAGGTAAGTTCATTTGAAGCAAGGAAAATAAACTTCTATCTTATCACAGTATACTGTGATCCCTAACTTGAGATATAACTATGCTCAGAGGGAACTGCTCCAAGAGACATTTAGCTTTTATGCTACAATATCTTTGCATCTCATCTGGCTTTAATACAAGTGCACCATCTGCTTATGACAAAATTATTTATTTTTATGGCTATATTCCCCTGTCTTTATTTTATTTACTAATCTACTTCACTCTATGGGATGCATTCAAAAATGCAAGGTGCTAAAAATAAGGATTAAACATTTTTGCCTTGAGGTCTGGTCTCTAATTACTCTGTGCAGCACCTCAATTTACCAAGAAACATTAAGAAGTCTCAAAGAGAGGCTCTTTTGAAGCTCAAACAATGTCATCAGGGTGGGGCAAGTTCCCTTCCCTCACCTCAGGAAAGAGCCTTATCCTCTGTGCCAAGACATTTGCTGGTGTTTTGTTATGGCAGAGGATGGCGTGACATGAGAATCTTGCAGCAGAACCACCAGGATTTCTCCAGCTCACAGCAGAACCACACCACCTGTCTGTGTGGCACATTGCAGTCAACAAAAGGCTGCTAATGGCTGCTCACCCTGAAATCATCTCAGACATATCCTGGTGTAGTCTCTCAGCTGAGATGTGAAAGGCGCACGTTCCATTCATCTCCAAAAGCCACAGCTCCATATCTGAAATTGAAACAAGGCCAGTGACCAGTCCAGCACATCTGTGTCACCACCAGCAGCTTCTCTAACGAGAAGACCGGTGGACAAATACCATGGGAGCAAGGTCTGATCCTGCCCATCACAGTGGGGTGACTCACAGCAGTAGTTTTTGTGGGGAATGCCTAAAGAATTACAAGCCAACTTCTTAGCAGTTTTACCCATGTCATAAAACATGCCATTACTATATGCTAATTCCATATACATACATACATGCTCTCAGCCCCTTCATTTCTGCAAAATACTGCAAGTTGGGGCATTGAAGCAGTACTGGAAGCTGCAAATATTGCACTGAGAAAAATACTGAAAACAAATTCAGCCTTAGAACACAACAAACAGTTGCAAGATGAGAAAAGGTATTAATGCTTTTTGCAACACCTGGCACAGGGCCTATAGCTTACCTTAGCTGAGGAGCAAAATTTACTCCAACCTAAACCAGAACTCCTACTGGAGTTAAGGTGGCATTATATGGAAGGATTGTAGGCTGAATTCCAAGAGCACTGTAATTCTTTGTTCAGCTTTGACTCACTCCCTTCTGTTCATGCACAGATAGCAGAAGGGGTATTTACTGGATGAACAGATTGATAATGTGCTCACTTACTCAGTGTCCACTGCTACAACAATCCCTTTGGGATTAAGTGAGAGGAGGAACTGCTTTTGATTTAGGACAAGGAATTTTAACCAAACAGCGGAAAGTTCCACTGTGTCTCAAACTGAATATTTTAGTCAAATCAATGCCTGCACCTGTCTTCTGCTTGTAATTCACCATGAGACAGAAGTCCCTTGGTAATCTGGTAGAAATTCTTGCAGTCCTTTGAAAAAATCACTTGTAATTCAGTAGTTCTTTGATTTGCAAACTCTGGGTAGAATTTGATTCATGTTTTGTTCACTCTTTTCCAGCAAATACCCACATTCCAGCTAAAGGTGATCCTTGTTTTGTTAGTATTGTCTCTGACTTAGGATGGTATGTTCATTTTTTTTGGGAATTCACCATAACCTAACCTCTCCTACCTTGCATTTAGCTGCAGAAATGTGTTGTGATTATGATAATGGTGAGATGACAGGCAGGCCTGGTTATCAGGGTTCAGTTCCAGTTCTGATACTTTGCAGTTTGATTCTTTCCTCCTACACAGCTGTTGCAGGCCTGGATGACATTGAAGGTACAACTCCCTCCTCTTTCTGCTCTGCCAGAGCATGTTATAACTGAAAAGCCCTGGAAGAAGCTACAGTGAGAGAGAATTGTTTGAGAACAACACAGAGATTTAACTTGAAGCTATGGATGTAGAGAATCTCTAAAAATTATCTGAAAGTCACAACAGTATCAGAGATTCCATCTGAGGAGACTGTCCTTCCCTTCTCTAAAGCCAAGGACATCAATATTCTGCTTTAGGCCCAACAATGACAAAGACTACATCATACTCATTACAGCTCAAAAACTCTGCAGCTTTGACCCACATGATGGAGCAGAATGAAGAAATGTCTCCACTAAAAGATGCTTTGGTCCTATTTTGTATCCAAAAGAGACTCCTATGTTCACTTCACCTGAAAGAAGCAGAAAGATGGAGGAACTTTCTGTCCTTGTTTAGTCTCTAAATAGAGTTAGGTCCCTCCTTTCCTGCTGCTCTAAAATTTATGGCCTTCCAGTAGCCTACAGCTACCTTCAAGAAAACGAAATAGGGCAAGAGTGGACCAGGGACCCAGCAGAAGATGAGGCATAATCCAACCAGTGAAAAGGCATTGTGAGTATTTTTTCCTTGTCTTTTTAGGAAAATTCTTTCATAGCAGAGAGGTCACACACCCATCTTACCACATATCTTTTCCCAATATCTATCCTTTTGCTTTACATCTGCTGTGGCAAAACATTTAAAAGTGTCCTTCTATTGAGAGAGATTGCTATTGGCCTGGGAAAAAAGACTTTTCCCCCCTAGATATTGACTTCAGCAGAAATACACACTTACTATATGAGAGCAGAATCTGAGAGTAACAGAAGACAGAAGTGCACAAATTATCCAAGAGCTTCACGTATAAACTTTGAATGTGCTCCAGCTTTTAACAAAGTGCAAGAAAACAAAAGAAAAAAAGCTCAACAATAGCAAAAACATTGCCAAACAATTTGGAGAAAATCTCACTGCTCTCATATGAGCAATGAGATTAAAATTCTCTACTCAGTTTTTGAAGCCACAGACATTAAGATCTCAGCAAATATTTCAATACTTTCAGAAGAGAAATCATTTATTCTACCTGCAGATATTGAGCACAATGCTGCCATTATTTAACTGTTTTACAAAACTGAGGTCCATCAATTCAGTTACCTGCTGGTGTGAATTCAAGGCTTTTGACTGATGAGACACTGTAATTCTAACAGTCCCTGTCAATTCATGCATGATAATGTTGCACAGACAGTATTCATTTCTAAAAATTAAAAAAACAATGTACTTTTGCTGTACACTGCTACTCAAAGTGAGTCACCTTTTCAGGGCAAAAGGCCTGAGGAAAAAGGAAGGCCATGATCTGATTATGTGAATAATCTTCCCTTATGTCACAGTCCACATAAGAAAGATGTTGCAACATGGTCCTTGAGTAAGTATGCAACACTGGGTTTGTTTTTCACACTGTAAACAACAGATAAAAATGGAATACTGATAACACTTGGAATTATAATGCATTATGCCTTGAGCTGGCTGCTTGGTGGAATATGATGATGAATATCTGAGCCTTCCCAAATCACATTTATTGTAATGTGTTGGTAGCACTAATTTCTTTAAGCTGGAGTCCTTTTTCTCACCTTTTTGATCCCCACTTAGCTTTAGATTCTGTAAGAATTCTCAGGACTAAAAGTAAAACCCCTCTTTTTTTCATTTATTCAAATTATAGTTCTGAAGTTTTGCATTGGTGCAAAGAAGCCACACAGCTGCTAAGAAGAATACAGAACTTTGTGCCAGGATCCTAGGCTGGAAAAGGGGAATGAAAAAGTCATTGTATCACACAGAAAAAAACCTCAAAGTACACCCAACCCAACCATGCTGTGGGTGCATTTTAAGCCCTGAAGTTTGCAATGAAAATAGCCCTGGGTGCATGCCCTTGTATGCATTAAAGCACGAGCCCTTAAGACACAACAAGGCTCTAGGCTGAAATGCACACCAGGATGGACACAGGGTCACCCACCTGGATCCAAAAACCTGGACTATCCTGCAAACACAGCTCAAACAGGCAGCTCCTATAAAGCTTACAACTGTCTTGAATATCCACTTACCCCTAGCTGCTTCTTCCATACGCTACCCTCCTTCTGCTAACATGGCAGCATGTAATTATTCTAAAAAGAACAGCAACAACACAGCATTCAAACAGTCCTTGTGACTCAGTCCTGGGCCTTCACAGAGGTTGTGAGGCCAAAACTCTGAGGAGGGAGCATTCTCTTTGCAATGTATGTTTCACTTGAAAGCATTTTCTGTATGCAGAATTAAACATTTTTATCTTCACTTAAAATGCCCTGAGACTCTCCTGTGATGTTAAATTAGGGAAAAAAGTGCACCCTTTGCTTTTGACAGAATTTGTGCAATTTTGGGATTTTCTACTTACATCCATGTTAAGGCACAAGAAAAATATGTCCAATAAAAAGCTGTGATTTAATATGAAGATAGAAAGTGTAAATACAAAACAAGAAATTGGAAACCAGAAATCTTCCCTTCAAGAAAAGCATCCTTACTACCAGCATCATAAGGCAGTCTAAATTTCGGAAGCAGGATGCCAAGTAGGGTGACATTGCAGGACTGCTCTGCTAAACCATGTTCTGCAGAGATTTCTGGGATAGAATGTGCTCACTTCAGTTTGCAGGATTCTTTGTGGTATTTATATTAGTACAAAATTTGTTGATGTAATGTCATGATGGTGGTCTTCTGCCCAAATCCAACATGTAATTAATGTGATTAAAACCACAACTTTTCAAAGAAAATTTGGCATGCTTTTCTAGAAGAATATGCAGACTTCTTGTGTTTGTAGTACATATCTGAATGCAAATGCATGTGTTTGATTTCCCCTGAGTGTTGTGTGAACAGTTATTATTACTGACCTGGAAATTATTCTACTTTCCCTATTTGACTATTGTTTTTGTCTGGGTTAATGCATCCCTGAAACCAGATGTGCAACACTGGCTATATTTCCATTACTCAACATGATCATGGGTATTTATTACCCCAATGTTTGGGGCAGTAACAGTTGGCTTTTGCTGCCCACTCCATGACCTTGGTCGGTACAATGACCAACAGGCCTCAAGGACAAAATGCAGGGTGCTGTAAGGAATCCATGTCAATGAGGCATTGCCTGGGGCATTACTGCTATGAACCACTTGAAACAAAAGGAAAGAAAATTTAGATTTTAGCTCTCTAAAGCATGCCTGTGTTAGATTTCACACAGGCATCTACCATGTGGCAGAACCAGCATCACCTCCTGGTGTTAGCAATGAAAAGGTTGCTCTGGCCAGTTCTAATTCCAGCCAGAAGAGTGCAGCAGGACATACCTGAGTTGAACATGTCCTCACAGGCCAGACCTAGAAAATGGCCACAAATTTTTTAAATATTACCCACTCCCTACAATAATAGCCTGACATGTAAAACAAAATAAATGCCAGTGAACAACAAATTGATTTCTTTCAGTCACAGAAAAGGGCAATAGAAAGAAGAGGATACTTGACCAAACAGTGGCTATTGCTCCTTAACTCTTAACCCATTAATTTACATTGCTATAAACAAAAGGCTAGTAATGGAGTGATTGTGAATACTGAAGATTTTTTAAGAATACATTAGACTATGGGAATATAATGTCATGCAAAAACTATATTTGCAATAATCCTCCATGGGGACACAAAAAGGGTTTTATGGAACCAGATTCTTAAATGTTCTGCAATATCCTAGTGTACACCCAAGCCTTTGTGTTACTCTCACAATTTTCTTATGAGGTCAAAAACTACTGCTCTGAGTGTGCAGTAAAATGCATCTGCAGATCTTTGCTTAATTTTAAACAGAAACTTAAGAGTTATGGCTGGAGTTCTCATGCCAAGCTGCTCAGTTACCTGCAGATAGCCTTCCCCTGCTCTGCATGGAGAGCACACACCAGACCCATCTTACATCTGCTCAAGGGCACTAGCAAGAGAGCAGAGTGTGTGCAACGCAGGGCTGGCAGCTCCATGTGAGAACAGGCATTGCCTTCCGGAGTTTTGTTTCAGCTGAACTGCATGGTCTGAATACGGGGGAAACCCCCATCCCTTTATCATAAAAATATAAAGCTACAGGTTAGATACATGTTACAAAGATACAGGTGGGAAACTGACACTGCTTTCCCACTGTAGCCTTGAAGAGGTTTCTTCATACAATCGTAGCAGAATACAGGAAAAATAAGGTAGAGGAGCATTCCCAAATGCCACAGGGAAAAGTGTAGGAACAGAGAAAACAGAAATTTTCTCTTTCACTTCAACATGCAGATATTCCTCCATTTCTGTTTCATCCCCCACGCACTGGCATCATCCACTCACTGGCAGTAGCTGTTCATGCCTGCACAGCTTCCAAAATGGGTTCTTCAACAAAGAAAGGTCTTCTCCCTTTCTACCACAAATAATATTCAAGAAGGAGCTCTTCATCAAAGATGCTCTCTCTGTGGATGGTGGTAACCAAAAAAGTGCACAAATGCCACCCACAATAGTAACAGTGCTCCAAACACTCCTTCCCCCTTTGGAACCACCCTGTGGCTGCTCTCTAAATTACAGTGCCCCAGTTTCCTGCTCTGATACTGCCCTTCTTCATTCTTGTTTGTGCAAGGTAAAATGGAGAAACACACACACAGAGACTGGAGATTTTAATCAAACTCCACAGAAGTGAGTAATCCTAGGTGCACCACCCCTCACCTCCCCTGGAAAGGACGGAGATGAAACGGCTGAAGGATAAGGATGGGCACAGCAGAAGCTCTAGCTACACTGCCCTTTGTAGTCAGAGGGTGAAGGTATTTTGTGCTAAAGCAGAGGGAGGCAGAGTGCTGGGAAAGCTAAATAGGAGTTTTTCCTGGATATGATGAGGAAGGCAAAGGGGCTTACAATCTACAGGCCATTGCAAAAAGTGGAAGCTCTGCACACAGCCCTTTCTGAAGGGAGAAAAGCCCCCATTTTTGTAGATATCATTACCAAGCCTTGCATAACTTTGCATAGAATAGCTTTAGGCAAGTTGCTGGCTTGGGGCACTCTCCCTGAGAAGGCTGTGTGTACCTCTCACTTGCACATGGCCTCTCTGTGCTCAGGAATCCAACGTAAGGTTTATATCATCCCACACAGAGGTGCAGATGTTGGCTTCCCAGAGCAGCAATAACATGTCTCCTCTCCAGTAAGTTATGTTGTTTTCCTAGCGTCTCCTCTGAAGTCACTCTGGCTGCTCCTGGTTCTTCCACATCTCTATACTCCATACACTCACACATTTTGTTCTCTTTGAGAATTTTTGGCTGGAGACTGTCGGAATGTCATAAGGCATATCTGTCCATATTTTGAACTTGACTAAACTGGCCAAGCACACTCAGAGTCAGTGTTTCATATCTAGGCAGGATCTGTTTCATGCTCTCTTACCAGCAAAGATAACACTAGTACAGTTGTTACATTGGTCATGTAGAAATATTGCCTGCAAACTAATCATTTATTGTGGAGCCGGGGGTGTAGAAATGAGTAAAAACTTGTTTTTTCCTTCATAGTGTAATATTTTGACCTGTTTTAGTATGTTAGCAGTTACAAAGCATTGTAAGCAGCCAACATGGGCCTATTTACTCACACATATAACTAATGATCCTTGTTGAGACATGATTCCAATATTATAAGCCTTGTTCTACTAAATTCATTGAAACTACTCCCAACTTACATTACCATAAATGAGAACAAAATTAGGTTTAACTGCTGAATATGCAGCCCTATGTATATGCAATTTTACTATGTATTGATATATATGTGTGCATAAATCACCTATGCATGAAGCGCATATACATATTGTCATTCTTATAAATCAGCAGATTCAAATAAGGTATTTTCCTAGAAAACAGCTTGTATAATGACTATAGTTAAAAATTATAATTTTGGAATTAAAATGAGAACTCAGGTTGAAATCTTTTAATCTGCTCAGTTTTACTGCAGTGCAAGTTGCTCAGAACATACCTTAACAGCAACATATTACTTACAACTACGGAATCCTATTTTTTAAAAACTCAGGAAGCCATTGCAGTTTATTGTTGTCAGTGAACAAATGTTAGGACTATCTGTTTCTAAATTTGAAGGGATACAAAGAGGAGGTGAGAACAATGCAGGATAATTCAGTTCATCCTTGATAGTCACCTCACTGGCTTTAGGCTTCAGTGAGAAGGGCAGAGTGGGCTTCTAGTCTTGAGAAACACTGGTCTGGGCTAGGATATGTACAGAGAGAGAGTGAATAGGAAATGTTCCACACACCTTAGGAACTTACAGTCTTACTCGAAGACTGAAAAAGGGCAAAGCAGCTTCAAAAAGTACGATGATATGAGAGTTCTCTCTCTCATATCATTGTATGACAGGGAAGACTTGAGCTTTTTCTCTAGCACATCCTATGTCTATCTAGGACCTTTTTTCAAGCAGCCGTCAACATGCTTTTCCAAAAAGTGGTAACTAATTCCACAGTCCTGATAGTTTCTCAGACTTGAAAATACTGGCAGAGCATACAGTCATCAATGAATGCCTCTACCTAAATTTGCAAGCTTCTAAAGAGTGGCAGATACAGAGGTTAACAATAGCAGCAATATTATAAAAATAACACATTTTGGAAATCCCTACACTGAATGAGCAGAAACTACAGAACAAAAAGAATAATGACCAAAGATTTAAAAGCCTGGAGCAAAGAATCAGCTCACACTTAAGACATGTTTGGATTGGCCTTAAGTTTGGCCTTAAGTTATTAAAAGAAAAAAAAATTAAAAAAGTAGAATGATGCTGATATATGGTGCTCCTCACAGTCCAAATTATGAAGAGTCTTGCTAGAGACTTTGGCAAGCACAAGTTTGACAAACCCTTTCAGTGCTGCACTCAGCAGTTAAAGCAACATCTCTGCTTATTAAACACAAGCATCTGCAGGCAATAATGGATAGTAATTCACAGTAAGCTTTACCAGTTTAGGGTAGGAGCTACAGAGACACAATATAAAAGGCTACAAATGCTCCCTTGAAGCTTTAAACCAGCGCAGAATTAGATGAAGTGCTCACCAGAGAGGGACTGTCACTTCACGGTGTTACCTTTCCTTTGCTTCTTTACAGACCACACATAAAAGCTGGAGGGTGCTCACAGGGAACTGAGCTGACAGGGCCACAGCTTAACAGGGTGATGTTTCAACAGTACATTTCCAAGTTAGCAACCTCACATCATCCAAGGGCTGCCAAAAGGCAAGGGGAACCAGAGGGTGAGGGGTGAAGGCAAGGGGAAATTAAAAGGCAGTCTACCTTCAGAAACATGCTTGCTGAGGTTATGTGGAAATTTCTCTAGCCAGCAATCAGTTCAAGAGTTTTCCAAAAGTTTTCCAAGTCATTCAAAGCTGACTCGATCATGCTATGCATATTTAATTCTACTTCAAACCATGTCTTGCCCTTCCCTCAAAGCTGGGGACTGCCAGTAAATGCTGCTCTGAACAAAACCTTTGATCCAACCTTCCTCCTCTTATTGCACTGTTGTCTCCTTCCCAGTTCAAACTCTCATTTCAGCTTGGAAATGAATGCTCACATGCAGGCTGAATGGAATCCTTATGGGCTGTATCTCAAACTCGAAAGGTGTTTTTAGTTTAGCTGCTTTTCTTAAATCTATGCTTGCTGATGAATCAGAAATTGCTCGTGAAC